GTCTTGTTGTTCCTGAAAAAAACTTCAGATTTTAGTTGAATGTATGACAATAGGTTACAAAATTTACCAAATGTTTTGTCTCGTTTTTTATGATAAATATTTCTCTACGAATAAATCTATTCTCAGAACTGTTTTATTAGGAAAAATATCCTTTCTGTACATTATTCAACTTCCGAGTTTATTTCAGAAGATTTTTCTGTAGGATTATAACTTCAAAAAATGGTTACGGTTAAAATAGTACATTATAAAAAAATTCAAGTCCATATATAAATACGCTCGAAAATATTTTTTAGTCATCGACAGTGACCTATACATCTGATTTGGTTTTATGAAACTCACATATATTTTCGAAGAAAATAGTGAGTGTAAGTTTTAAGTGAAGATTTTTACGGTTCCCTTCACCTCCTCTTTAGTTCTTAGCAATCCGGACTAAAGGTTATTGGATATAAATTCTCTCCTACAAATGGCTTAAATGACTGCATTACATTTCTCAATGTTCTAAATAAGACAGTGTCAGATTTTAGCACTGATAAACGATTACATAATAGATATCAAAGATTATGACTAGCAATGTATTTATTCGCCACAGTCGATATGTGATTAATACAAAAAGCAGAAACTGATCAAAGTTCTGACTGTCACGGCTACTTCATATCAGTATATCTAAGTTTATAGAGATACATAAATATATAATGAACAGATCGTAACAAGACAAATAAAAACAAATAGATTGCTAGTACAGAAAACAGTACTGGTGTGAAATAAAATAAATAAGACAGACATTTTTCCTGACGATCGTTAATTCTTGAGAAAGCGACTATCGTCTGTTAGAGATTTGTGTGAAACACGATCTAAAAGGAGTATTGTAGTATATATGGTGGAAATTTTCATTCTGTCTCCTCTCCTCAGATCATGAGACACGCGATCAACAGGTGACTATAGATCGTGGTAAACGTTGATTTATCATCAAAGTTCATTTATCCATAACGTTTCGTTACAATATATGAGCTACTTCCTTAAAGCATATCCAGAGGATTAGGTAAACTGATGGCAAATAAATCGGTTCCAAAATAGATGAAATAAAACAATGTCCCTATGATTAGCAACAGCAGCTACATTGTGTTTTTTTCGCATTTTAATCTCGAAGAGATTACGCTGACAGTTTTCTACTTTACGTATTTTTGTATAACAAAACGGAAGTAAATAAGACACGTAAGTTTCACATTTTACTCCGAAAGTGGCTGTATTTGATAAGCTTTTCAGCAGAATATTTTACTGAAAGTTAAAACAGTTCTTAACAAAATAAAATTCTTCTTACTGTTTGTGTCTCTTAATGAACTGTACTATTTTTCTATAAAGAAATAAATTTCTTTGAAAAAAAAAAAAAGAAAGGCACAAGTTAATTTTAATTCAACTACCGATTTCTCTGGTTCATTGATGAATAATTGTAATTGATTTAATGCTTCTTCTGATGGCTTTTGTGCTTCTATTTGTAATTGATAAGCATTGTTTACTTGTTCAATCAATGTATTTTGTTTCTAGAGTTAATTATAGAAAGAAAAAACAATTGAAAAAAAAACAAAATCATTTTCTTACTTTTTCACATGTTATTTTATATTCATCAAATTCTTGTTGTAAATTTTTTATTCTCTCATTATTTATCGATTCTTTTATTTCAAGTTCTTTCAATAACTCTCTTATACGAACAACAGCCTAAATATAGAATTAATTGATTTTGTCATTCATACACACAAACATACGAGTTTTCGTAAATTGGCAAATGTTATTGGTAAATTTTCATTTGTTACATCATTCAAATCAATTCCGTCGGTTGAATTAAATAATACATTGAGATCTGGTAGATCTTCAATATTATTAGAAAGTATCTGTTCATTATGATCAAGGATTTCATCCGAATGGTCACATATTTGTATGTTATTCTAAATCGAAAAATTTATTTTTATGCCGAGAATCCGTTTAGTAGGGAGAATAAAAAAATCTTACAGGAATCGTTGTTAATTGAACTTCTTCTTTATCTATTTGATTTGAAATAATTATTTGTGAAGATTTATTATCTTTTTCTTCAATTTTTTGTACTATAAAAAGAATTTTATGAAACTTGAAAAATAAAATAAATATGGTGTTACATACAGTTTGTGTTTCTTGTATCAGCAGTATCCTTAATTAAAAAGATAACGTTATCGACATGATTAGACTATAAAGAATGTTCTCGAAATTCTCTATCATTCTGCATATTCATGTTTGTGCTGAAACTATTCATTGACAAAGTTTTTGACTATACAGTCTCATCCTCAGGTTTCTACGAACTAAATTTTTGTTTTGTTTTTCACACGTTTTTTTTCAAACTTTTAACAAGCATGAAAATAAGTTTTCACAAAAACAATTACAAAGTCTGATAGTTCTTGAAATGTTCTATCGTCCAGAAAATTTAGATCTTGATGTTCACTTATAGACTGAGAAATATTTTGAACTTTGTCAATGTGTTCTTACTTTCACTCCAATATAATTACTTACTAGAGCCCGTCGAGTTGTTTCCAAATCGAACTTGGTCCTATCAGGGTGCGAAATGAAACTCAAACGATGAGTTTCAACAATTTTTTGAAGGTTACAATGGAGCACATGATGACATTAGCTGAGAAGAATACAAAATTCAGCGAGAAAATGGTGATGTGACGTATGAGCAATTTTAATCGGAGTAAAGATGTGGATACATTGACAATCTTCAAAGATATTTTGTCAGCAAATCAGTGAAATTCAAGGCATAAATGTATAAAACGATAAAGTATTTCAAAATTTATCAGAATACACTACTGGCCATAAGTCCCTGGATGTATGAAACTTCGAGTGAAGATCAATCGTTTTCCATGACATTTTCACCAGAGATGCAGCTTGAAAAACTGTGATCGTCAGTACCAATCCAAGCTCGAATACGCTGAGTAAAACTGGAGTTAGGGATCAAATACTGTTTTCAGTCAGGTAAGCACAATTGCGATATTTAAAGGATTTCTCAACATGGTTCATCCATTATTTCGAACTTTCTGCTTGTTATGTTTCTGAATATCACCAATTTCTTCTAAAAAACTTATATCGGAGATGTAACAAGTAGCAGTCTTCAAGAGCAAGAGTGAGCTAGGTTGAA